TTTAGATATTAGGAGCCCTATCTGGAGCCAAGGCAATTGTCTAATAAAAAATGTGTACAGATCTTTATAAAAAGGTCTGAGATGTAATCTCAGTGTGTTCCAGAAACAGCAGCCAGAAGAGGTTTTAGGCTAAAGATCCTTTTCAGGCTATCATCTTTCTCCAGTGAAGTAGGGAAAAAAACTTCCTATCATTATTCTTCTTTATGAGTTTTTGCAAAGATCTTCTGGGAAGACAGGTAGAAAATGCTGGAAGTAAAAAGGGAGGAACAGGAAGAAATTTGGACATTTGGACCACTGTTCTAAAACTCAACAGAAAAACTGCTTGAAAGATCCTGCGTTTGGAAACCATATGATTTTTATATTTGACTTTGCTCTTTAGAAGGCCTTTAACCAGGGGAAATGGCAGAAACCAAGGGAAGACCAGTAGAACTGTATTGTACCCTGAGGAAAGTCAGAAAAGACACATTTCCACTGTATTTTCTAGTCCCTATGGGTCACCTTTCTAGTGGAAAAGTGTGGCCTTGAAAAGGTTGTAGAAGAACTCAAAGAAGGAAACCCTTTACCCTTTGTTTTGGACTAAATGTACCATGGCAAAACTTGATCAGAGACTGCTCTAGGCATCATCCAGAACAGATTAAACTTTCTTTGGGTAGGTCTATAGGAACAGATTGTAGAAACACATTATCTCCTCTGAGCAGTCTTTAAAATGGTAACTGATCTAAAAAGAAGTAAAATTTCTCCAATGTACATTGGATAAAAATTCTGTTTTTCAGTTTATGTAACTCATGTCCTAGAGAAAAGCAAAGAAAAATTAAAAAGCTCTCAAGAGACAATGGGATCTATTCTGTCTTCACATGCATGACTTAGTTACAAGTGGGCTACTTGCCAGCTTCTGAGCTCAGCCACACACATGCAATTTTCTTTGACTTAAACAGAACTATATTTTTGTGGTCAGAATCTGGACTTTTTGCATAAGGAATTCCTATTATTTTTTATTATTTGTATGTTATTATAAGGATTGTGGTCTCATTGTTTTGAGCTTTGGGAAAACAAGGCTCTGTATTCTACCCACTGGAGAGATTACGGCCCAGAACCAGCAGCATGTGAAGGGTGGGGGCAGTCTAGCTATTAGTCCTCTGCATGGTCATATCTTCTCAATTACAGAGGCGCCACCTAGAAAATAATTGACTTTCTTGAAAAAGATGCTTTCAGATGCCTGACAAATTTTCTGTGTGTGCCTTTCCCTTCTATCCCTGCACCCAGCACAAGACTGCTTCCCGTCCCTAGTTTATTAAATCCTCATCCTCAGAGCTGGTTTATCCTGAGAACACACTTGGTCTTGTTTCAAGCACCCGCTTTTAACAGGGTCTACATGCCACTGCTGCCAGATTTTGTGCTCAGCTACACATGCGACTTCCTTTGACATAGAGTACATATTTTCCTGGGCACAATTCTTTTTGGGTATGGCTCTACACAGACACGGAATCCCATCTGGCTCACCTTTGCTTGGGGTTTGTAAAGGCCCTAGCAGAGGATGCAGAGTGGAGGAATTTGAAGGAGCAGAAGGCAGTGGTCTTTCTGCTGTGTTTCGGGATCATACTTGACACCTGGCATGACAGTGAAAGAACCAGTAGCACGTTGGTAGGTGGGAATTGTGTAAATGGGCTCTTCCTCTGAATGCATCTCTGTACACAGCGCTTCACTATTTAGTGATTGACATGGCAAAAGCAAGAAATCAGATGGACCAAAAGAATTACTCCTATGTGATTGAAGTGAAAGAGTAAGGATAGACAGAGAATTTTGAGTCCTCAGAAAAGAGCCAAATCAGTGTGTTCAGTCTCTTCTGAGTGCCTGTTTGAATGCCCACAAGTACAGCTGGGGTTCTGCAGGTTTGGGAGGGGAGGGTTCCAGGGCAGGGAGCAGAGCCAGGGAATGACTGCTCTCTGTCCCTCGCCACCCCTGGCACCTTTCCAGGTGGAAGTCAGAGTGGGATTAATACACACGGAACTGGTTCTGTTCCAACTCCCCAAGAGGAAAACATTTTTTCAAGCTATATGATTCTTGTTTGTAGCTACGTGACACGTTATTTAATGGCTGTGAAATACTGCATTGTTCTGATTTTGAAGATGTGCATATCTTTGGAGGACCACTCTCATTTTTCTAAATGCTTTTTAAATGCAACATTTACAAACACCTTCATTTTCTTGTTGTTGCTGACTCGCTCATTGACATTTTAAGCTAAACAGCATATGGCTTATTGCTTTGTACAAGCAATTGTATACAATTCATACATTTTCTGGAATTAGAAAGCCTTGGAAACACAATGACAATTTTCAAAACTACAGGTTTATTCTTAAAACTAGGAGATCTGTGAGGCCTATTCTTATTTTTTACAGATTTTTCCAAGTGATCCAAAAGAGTTGCTCAGGGCATCACAATTTCCTGGCTACAAAACAACAGAAACAACATAGATGGATATTTAGATGTTTTATTCCCACGTGTGTCCAATGTTTTTTTGGTCTTTCAATGGGAGGTTATTACTGGAGTATAAGGTATTAATTACTGTTATCAGTCTAAGACGTCTCTTGCTGAAGATTTAAATCAGCTTCCTCTGGAAACATAGGAAATAGGATTTAAAAGGCCTCCTGCATCAAGTTCAAACCCCAGCTTTTGCTGTCAACTGCACATCATACAATTGGTTTCATGAAGTGCTCAAGTTTCTTGCTGTAACAAGTGACGTTTCTTGCTTCCCCTGCTCCTGTTGGAAGGGTGTTCCAGGATATAATTCCGGTGCTTCCTCCTAATTTCCTGTTGGAGTTTATTCATGGCCATATTATAACCATTTGTTGTTATGTCAACATCGTCCTTTAAATAGCTCTTCTCCCTCTTTGTATATTTATAGAAAACAGTTATGTTCCCTTTCAGCCTTTGTTTTGTCTGCGTAAACAAGTAAGACACTTTTAATTTGCCATGTTAGATAGCCCTTCCTCTTCCTACTAGTGCACCTTTTTGGTGCCTGACCCAGTTTGAAATAATTGTGTTGCACATGAATGCAATAGAACAGGTGACTCAAGTTGTGCACTGTCTGCCTGTACTCTGTCAGAGAAACATCATCCAATGAAAATTAGGAAAAAATCCCGCCACTTCCCTTCCCACTCTCCCTTGTAAAACTTTTTTTTTTTTTTTTTGATATAGGCACAACATATCTAAGGCTCATGATCACCTTTTATTAGCAAGGAGAGTGATCAAAAATTTTTCCAACTTCTACCTCCTCTTTCAGCCAGCTGCTGAAGCAATGCTACCCACCGAAACAGTGTGCCTAAACCCACTGCTTCATTTGTTTTCCAAAGTGTATCATCTTGAAGCTACACTCTCAGATTCCACCTTGTCCCATCTCATTCCTTTTCTTCCCTTTTCTCTTCTTGCTCTACAAGATACTATTAGTATTTTTTCCTAGCTTTGTGTAATCAGAAAATTTCACTTGCATATACTCCCTTTGCTGCAGTGCGGGTGTTAATGAAAATAGGACCCTACAAAATGATTAATAATAAAAGCAGTATGCGTAGGACCTGATTACTGATCTCTGTCTATTCCAGTAGATCTATTTTCAGTACAACCTGCAGTCACCTCTTCTCCAATCATCTCCCCTCAGTTCTTCCAACTGATCTCCTCTTTCTCCAGGTTAAATAATACCCCTCCCCCTGCAATGATGATAATATGATTTTCGGATACCGGAGTAGCAAGATCTATTGCATTTCCTTTCTTTAGAAAAACCTGATTATTTATGGCATGATCCATTTTTGGAAAAGTCTGACGTGTTTCAACACGTCTCTTGTTTCCATCAAAATTAAATTTAAAACCTAGCATGCAATGAGAGCACATTATGAATCTGAATAAATGCTGCAACCATTGTGTACTTGGTGCTATAATGGGTTAATTGTTGCAGTGCAGGAAGCTGACAGGGAGCCACAAGAAGGTGCATGCCTTAATGAGGAGATGGTAAGGAGCCCTGGGGCATAGAATAGGGGCTAATATGAAGGAGAAAACAGTAGGATAGAAAAGCAGAGTAACCCAAATAAAGATACATTTGGTCTTGTTTATGTTGCAATTACTGTCTTGCATTATTACTGACAAAACTTAGAAACACTAAAGCAACTCAATGAGATGGATGTATGCATAGAATATTTCTGTCCCAGACTAGGTTTTCTATGTTTTAGGGTTTCACTGGCAGTCCCTACTCAAAACAACGAGCTCCCAGTTAAGCTGAAAACCGGAGCACTACTTTGATGAGTGGACATACCGTTGTTACAGTCAATACTTTTGATTCCTGGGGAGGAATTCTGTTTGCATTTTTTTAAAGGAGGAAATTTTGAAAGACATCAAGTTCCCTTGGTCCAGAAAATATTGGAAAGGAGTAACTTTAAAGGAGTAACATGGATCAGAATAGTTCTGCTTCAAATTCATACTATGCAATGACACTAATCCACTTTGTGATACTTTGTTCAGATTTTGAGGCAAAACTTCCACCAGTTACAATTTAAGATTGGTCAATAATACATAGAATATTAACTTTGCCTTAGTATTTTGGATGAAATCACTTATTTCTTTCTTGGAGGCTGGCTGGCTGGCAGGGGTAATGGAGCCTTGAGAGACACGTGGATCAAAATCAAAGAAAAGTTGTTCAAATCCCAGCAAATGTTTAAATTCATGTCCAAAATGGTCAATCAGCCTTATATTCTCTCTACCACTTTATCTGTTAATTAAATACTTTTGAGTCATATTTCTCCAAAAAGGTTTTATAAAAAAATAAATAGTTTCCATTTTTCACAGCTGGTGTACAAGCAGTGGGTTTTATTATATGTATTTTCTCCAAATGTAACAGCACATGGTATCTGGTCTTCACAAATTGCTAGCTGCTGGACATTCCTTTCTAGGAATAATTAATTGTAGGAATAAATCAATATAACTGTAAATGGAACAAGGATCAAAGTCAGACTTACTGAATATTGATAATCATCTAGGTAAACACTGGAGGTAGCTTCCAAGTCAAATAATAATACTCTCAAAAGCATGTTTCTATAAAACAAAGGTAAATATATAGTCTTTAATAAAACCTCTGTAGAGCACCACAGAAAAAATGAACAGAATAAAAATAAAAGAGAGTTTACCGAAACATCAGCTCAGCCTTTTTCTTTACCAAAATTTTATTATCATTTTATTATAATGGATCTTCTCTCCCACTCCTTACATGTTTCCTCTTGATTCTCTAGCCTTCTACATCCTCCTTGCTTTCTTTATAGTAGAAATTGCTGTACAGGGTCTGACAATAAGTCTCTGTGGTTTAACATTCAATCTTTCTGAAAGGGACAGTGTATCAAGTCTCCTCCTTGTCTTTAACAGAGACTGACCTAAAGCATGAAGCTTGCCATTAGTATCCCTCTTACAAAATAGGTAACTACAAGTATTTTGTACTGACTGTATCTTACAAAGTACTTGGACTCAGTGACACACAAGGGCAATTATTACCATGAGCTAATTATATACTATGAGTGGAGAGGGGAAATATTTCTTTTTTTCCATGAATTTCCAAAGATCAGCTTTTACTTTTAGGCAGTATTTCCTTACCATCATGTAATGATAGGAGAGCAAGGATGAAAATTCCTGACTGACCCCTGCTATTATTTTGGAAATACTTATCATTTTGTTTCCTTCCTTTATTTCTGAAGTCTCCAATTCATTATCTGTTGCTAGCATTTTTGTTGCTGTGTAGCCTTGTTGGTTTTGCAGTGTGTGTGCTCCAAGTCCTGCATAACAGCCAACACACTAACATGGGTGAGGGAGCAAGGAGCAGTGCACTCATTAAAGGAGATGTTCTGCTGGAAACCTGGCATGCTCTTGTGTGGATGTGTGCCTCAAAGTGGGATGTCCTCCCAGAGAAGCAGTGTCGGTGTTCCATCACCTCTGGAGACATCCCTGGCACAGACACACACTGGCATGTGGCGCTGCTGCCTCTGTGTCCTGCGGCTCCAACTGAGTGGCCTGTGGGTGGCAGGGACTGACAGGGAGCTGGCAAAGCTGCCAGGTTGGTTGGGAATCTTTCCTAGCCAGAGGCAGGATGCTTCACAAGCCCCAGGGACAGTGCCCCAGGGCAAGCTACCCGCTGGCTCAGGAAAGCAGGTCCTCAGAAAGAGGAGGGAGAGAACTGCCATGAGCAGAGTGCCTGGGGAGGAAGAAGCAGGAGGAGAGTACAGTGTGGTTCGTCAGCTGTATGGAGAGGGTAGGACAGGGGAATCTGGTAGTAAATGGAAACAGATGGGAAAGTTCACAGGAGAAGAGGTAGAAGGAAAAAAACCAAGGCTATCTTTGGGAGCATAGTGAGGATGAAGGTTGGGAAGCTCAGAGAAGGTGAAGAAAGCATTCTCCCTCTTGTGATGAAAGACTTGTCTCTAATATAAAAAGTCCAGGCTGCCTGTTATCAGCACTTTGAAGATGCTACATACTGATGAAGAAAGACAGGTTTAATTTTTCAACAAGGTGATAGTAGGTAAATTAGTGTTTTTGCAGTGGTTTATATATCTGATCTGAATATCTGCTCTCCCTGTTTTGATGGTACTTTCTCACCATATCCATCCCAGACTGTACCACATTCTGCCTTATCCTCAAGAAAGAAAAGAGCACTGCGTCACAAACAATAGAGAACAGTTCAAATGCTGTAGCCTCCATAACCATGAGCAACCTGTAAAAAAATTTTAGGAAACTCCAAGTACACAGTCTGCATAAAATTGTGAAAGCAATATCTCTGACTGTTACTGAATGGAGAATCAGTTAATAGAGAACCATTTACTGTAAAAAGTGCTACAACACAAATCTTATGAAATTATTCTTAAAATGTAATTTGGCTAGGACAGATTTGTCTACAAAGTTAGAAAAAAGGTACTAATCCACATTCTTGCTATGTTGTTGCTTATGTGTGTATGGACAATTATTTTGCGATAAAACTCTCTTCTATTGATTTTTCTTAAATAATTTTTTACTATAACAGTTATCTTTACTGCATAATAGCATCCGTAAAACAACTTGAACCAAATTAGTAACGACAATACTAAAATCAAAACCTATACCATTAATTTGGATCTCTGTGGCAGGTAGGAAATATTTTGCAAATTAACGCAAAAGAAAGCATATTCCTGCTCATGTGCAGTTACTACAGAATTGACACTACCTACCTAGAGTAGATGTCAAAGTGATTGAATAAACTGTTCTTCAAAACTTGTCTACCACAAGTGATTGCTTCTCCTGTATGCTCTTCTCATCTCTATATGAGTGGTGAGAGAAAAGACAATATACCTGGATATGCTGTTAGGGGTAATGTTCAAACAAGAAAATAATGTGTATATATTGCTTTAAATCCTGTCCTATGAAAAGACTGCTGAGACCTCTAATTCTCATGATGACACCTTTGGGAGCTGTAGGTATTTTGAAAACAGTGCTGCATGTCACAGTAAGTGTCTAACAGCATGTGACTCAAAGCACTGTGTTGTGAGGATAACACAAGAAATAATTCATATAGTTGATAATTTCCATTTCCATTTAACAGACAATCTGTTACTCAGATACAATTGTATTGGTGAAGATTCCATAAGCTTAAATTTGGAATGGTACATGAATTTGAGACATGGATTTCAAACAACAACTAAAGGAACTCACTGCAATATGGAGACATAAATATATCTGAATGGAAATCAGGGGAAATATGGACTAAGTGTTAAATGACAATTTATTTAAACAAAACAAAAATCGTAAAACTTTATACAGATATAGACACCTTTACCCAGGATTTGGACAACAAATCAAGTTCCTTATGATGAATTTTTATTTTTATCTTCAGTATTGTCTATTATTTGCACTGTGAAATGCCTTCAGGGCCTGAACTAGAAGCCAAGTTCCATTATAATGGATATTAAATATATAATGAAAAGGTAGCTTTCCCCTCCAAAGTGTTCTTGAGGTAAATTTATATCCATATTGCAGTTAGAAGACATAAGTGACTACATAAACCATGGAGATGCTAGAGCAAATTTTCAGTTAGGCATCTTGGTAACCTAGACCAAGGAGCACAGCCCCATTGAGGACTAATTACCCTTCCTTCACAGTCAATTTTGCAAATGTCACAGAGAAAAAACCAAAAAGTGAATCTTGAGGGGAAGAAAACAGACTAAGGAATAGGGCAAGTTAATAATGTCGTCTGATTTTGCATGTAAACAAATGGCTCAGGAGCACATATAGGGAAAGTTATGAGGTTACTCTAGCAAGAAGGAAGGTTAGAGATAAATATAGAGTTTAGGATTATACCCAGTCTAATTCTAAAATCCCTGATGGTGGTTAACTGTGCTATATTCCTACCATTTTTATTGTATGTAGAATGCTTCTGGCGGAGAAGCACGCAGCTAGCATGCCTCGATGGCAGTAGGGATTAATTGAGCATAATGTCTTTTGGAAAGTCACAGCATTTTCTTGGAAGGCAACAAGGGAAAACTGATAGTTTTGCTATGTAACTGAGTTTCATAATGAAATGTCTTACAGCAAAGCCTTGTTGCCTCATTACTCTTAAACCTTTATTAAAAAAAGCTTTTAAAGTGTATTAGTTAATTGTTCAGTTTGAGTATCTTGCTGCACAATTCCATATGAGCTTTATGTTTGGCCTGTCCTAGATGAGATAGCATTATTACTTAGAAGAAAGTAATATAAAAGTTAAGGTTGAATGGACCATTTTCCCTCCCTTCCACAAACACTTTGTGATGCAGTCTAATTATACTGTCCACTACTGTTGCTCTGTTTTGACATTTTACAGATTCTCAATTTAACTGCTTAACCTGTGACATTGATAAGTCCATAAGTCAGAAGTCATTACATTATGTTGTTCTGTAGTGTGCTTCAACATCCCAACATCGGTGAATATTGAACAAATCTTCAGAAATATTTTAGGTAAAATGCTGCAATATTACAGGGTTTCAGGAAAAAAAATCTGTGGCTAAAAACTTAATAAAGGAATTTTCAACTCAGTATGAATGGTAACTCATTTTGTAATGTTAATATATGGCTTGTTTGACAATGGGTAGTTTTGAAGTTTTAATTGTGTTTTTCTTTTATATTAATGATACATCATATCCATTCAAACTGACTTTTGAATCTATAGTGACTGAAAAATTAGATTCATCACATCTGGAAGTGAGATGAAGAATGAAGATTTCAGTCCTGTTTCAAAAGATGAAGAGCATGTTAAAGTCACCAGTTACAAAGAGAAAGCATCTACATATTTACAGCAACTGTTGTATAGTGACAGTGCATTTGCTTTGACTAGATTTCCTTGTGACTTCTCTTGTGAGGCTTTTGGCTTATGTACCTCTGACTAATTTACCTTTCACAGGACTGGGCACTCCCAAGCTGTAATGTGCTTCACAGGGAAAATATATCTGAGTAACAGAAACAAAAATAATAGTACAACAGCTTCCAAGCTTTTCAGCCCCATGTGAATATATTAGGAAAATTTTTAGTCTCACTGTCACAAATAAAAATTGTGCTTTGGCATTTCATGAGTGTAGAAGCTCATACGGGGATACCTCAGTATATACAGGTGTCCAAGAAATTTCAGCCTTTCAGGGCTTTTCTAGGTAAGGCTCAGCTGTCTTTTATGTACCTCCTGCAGTACTGATGCCACTGATGGATTTAAAATCCATTCTTTCAGCAATTGTTCTCAGGCTACTTCTGTAATTCATCACAAAGTAGGAAAATTTCCTGACCTGAGTCATGCCAATATCATCTGGGAAGTGAAGAGGGCAGGAGAGGTGGAAAGAAAGAGAAGGCAGCCTTGCTAAGAAAGGAAATTAATGATTTATCTCTATATCAATTTCTTTTGCATTTAAGCAAAATCTGAAATTATTTCTTCATATTTGGATGATCAATCAACTACTCTCATAATTAATTTAAAATTAATATAGATTTACATAGGCTAGTTTAACCTGTCCTGGTTATTAGCATGGTATTGCTGCTTTGGTTTTACATCAATTGCTGCCACTTTTCATTAAATAAGTGAAAATATAACTTTTCTGAATCAATAGAAATAATTCTGTATTTGTACTATGAGACTGTAAAAGTCAACTGGCCTAAAATATTATGTTTCCTCAAAGAAGTTTACATTTTGTATTTGTAAATGAATAACGGATTGATGGACGTATCTTTCTGATGGAAGACATATTTACCTGTATATAGCACAGGAGTTGATATTTATGAAGAATTTTCCAGGTCTGTTTACTGTATGGTTTCTGAGAGGCTTACATTAAGTGATTAAAACACTGGTCTTGCAATACTGTTTTATATGAAATTGCCTCAGTAGACAAAATGAAACATTTATTTTTCAGCAGGTTTTTTTTTTTTTTTTCATCTATCTTTCTTCACATTACTGTACTTCACATTACTGTACTTCCTGGTAGTCCCCGTTACGGACATGACTGTGATAGATGGGTAGAAAATACAGAACAAAATACAGAAACTCATTCTGCAAAAAGCTTGAATATACAGAATTCAGCAGTGCAGACATTCACTCTCCATGAGCTTGAAATCTAGGTATAAGATAGGCAAAGACAGTCAAAGAGGCAGATAACTGAGGTGATATCAGAAACAGCTCAGTACTGCACGTAGTGTTTAAAAAAGCTGAGGAGTAACTACAAATTAGTGACTGTTCAAGGTAAACAAACACAATTTCAGTAATAAGTGATATTCAAATAGAAAATAAATAACAAGCATATGAGCATTTTAAGTCCATAATCCAGAAAGGGTTCCAGTGATCCCATGGCAGACAGCTCAGCTCTGCACAGACAGTCATCCTGATGGATGCCAGCACTTTTGCTGCACCTAATAGAAGTTACCTGGAAGCTCTCCAGGCATCCTCAGTCCTGGTCTGTGCCAGTGAGATGTTTGGGCTTTTTCTTCCTCCCCACTTTTCTCTTACTAGAACTGCTCAATGCACCCTTTTGCGCTAGCACACTTGCCCCTTATTTATATGCAATACCAACTCCACTCCACTACATACTGTGCATGCTTCCTTTGACACCAATCTTTTTCAGGCTTTTAAACATTTCCCACCAGTAAGCTCATATCTCCCAAGCCTTGATGGTACAAAGAGTCTATTAGAACTCTTTTCTCTTTTGTGTTTGGTGGACTTGCTTTATCATATGAAGTCATACTAAAACTACAGGGCTTTTCCACAGGGATTAGGCATCGAACAGAACATCCCATAAACTACGCTGTGCCTTTTTTTTAGAAATTTGAAGAGAGCTCTGTGAAACATTTACAAGAGAGCCTTGTATCATAGGAAACTGGAGTTGTATGAGACTTCAGGTAACTCTGAGATTTATGAACATTTCTGAGAAGTCTGGACATCAGCATACAAGGTTAAGGCAAACTTTCAGCAAAGTGTGAGAAGGTTCTCCATTGCCCAGCAGATTTGTGTGAAACTCCAGTCCACAGAGGACTCTCCCAAGCAAAATGCAAATAGGTTTCTCTCAGCTGTTCCCGGCGAGACAGGCTTTCAAGCATGGGGTTTTCTTGCAGAAGGATAGAAATGAATATCCTGAGGTGGGTCCATGCTGCCTAAATTTTGGTAGTTCATGCAGAGAGATCACTCCAAGGGTGATCTGAAACAGTAGCCATTAACAAGACAAACAGCTTAAGGAGACAAATGTCCTGAATAAGTATGTAGCTAAATTTTGGATAGTGTATATATTGCATCCTGTGTTTCAGACTTCCTTCCCTGTGGAAATAGTGATAAATAAACTCCTGCCTCATGTTGCTAGTGGAGGTGACATGGAATTTTAAAATATTAGGTGGGGGTGGCAGATAATGGGAGAGAGCTGTGAGTTAATTAACTGGCATGTCTAAGAGAACTGTGCCTGGAGGCCACTGCCAGGACTGGCAACTCTGTGCAGAGCCCTGTACAAGCACTTAGGGAGAAATAGCCATCAGTCCAAAGAATCTGCCATCCAAATAGGCAAGAAAGGTGAGAAGAACAGAGAAATGTGGAAGGGTATACTATTTCTGAGAATTGCTTCAGTTGACTACTCCCATACTCAGCAAAATCCTGAGGAAAAATCTTAAACAACCCTCTCATTCAGCCGAGCCCTCAGCTGATGCTTTTCAGTGCAGTTCTAAAATGTTTTCAACAGCCATCATGCAGCAAACACGTTTAATGATAGGATGTTGAGTACCTCATATATGTTTCTAAGTTCCCAGACCACACAGTTATCAGTTACCCTGGCAGAAACTGTAATACTGACATCAGTGTGTTTCACTGATTACCATTCCACAGGTAGCAAAGAAGCCTAAATTGCCAATAATAGTTGAGAAAGAGTTAGTGAATGAACAGTAGAAGGCAGGCAGAGAAATTCAGTCAGGAATTATATAAACTGTAAATTGCCAAATTTTATAATTTTACATATCTCTTTTCTTGCAAAAGTAGAATATTATACAAAACAGGCCAAAACAGGATATCCAAACTGACTTAATCTGTGGTGAAATAGTAGATGCAAGGAATTAAAAGTACAGTCATCAAAATAAAATATCTTAGAAAAAGACAAAAGAGAATCAAAAGGCTTTTAGCTTTTCATAAAGGGAATCCCATTGTATAATTAGATCATGAACTAAGGCCTTTCACCACTGCAAAGTCACACTGTGAGCTGTTTAAGTACCATCTCTTGATTCTCCTATAGCAGCTTCTAATAGCAAACCCTGTTCTACTTTTCTTTGTGCAAAACCAATCACATCACATCAAATTATACACTAATTAACACAAACTCCTTAAAAAATTGCATATTATTTTGGCAAGCCAAATTAACGTCAGTCCCCTGAAACCATGTTTAGTAATTCCCACTGACTGTAGTAACGCCTACTACTGAGAGAAGGGCTAATCAACTACAGGCTCTCCTGCTGATGAGCTGAACCAAGTAACCAGATGTTTCTGCCTTCTAGGCTAATGGAAATGTCATGCATGTTTTTTCTCTCCACCTAGGTGAAGAACTAATTCCACCATGGCCATGATCTAGGTAGCTCTCTCTCTGGTGCTGCTTCTGAGAAGTCCTGCTAGTTAATCCTGAGCAAATAGGTGCAGCCTTGCCAAAAGCGCTCTGGTTTAAACCAGCTAATCCAGCCTATCAAGTCAGCTTGCTGACAAGATGTTCTCACTCAGGATATGGATAGCAAAGAGAAAGCTGATGAGCATCACTCGAAAAAAATTTATCTGTCATATTGTGCTGTATGAAAAAGCTGGGCAAAATATGCTTTTTTGTGTATTGGTAAGAGGTCCCATTGGTATTAAATTACTTAATGAGATGTCTATTGCAATTAAAAGAGTCATAACATTTATATTAACAATTTAAAGCTTGCTTATTTCAGGAGTGTCAGTTTACATGAGTCTAAATAGGCGATAATGAACATGATGAAGTATTCCATATTAAAACTGAGTACTGTGTAACTGTCTAGTAAAACCTTAATATTAAACTATACTGTATAACTTACAGGGCAGAATAAAAGCTTCATATTTAGATGTATCCTGTCTTGAATCTCAAATAATGGACTTAACATTAAATGAATACAAAATAAAAAGAAATGCATTTACAAGTAATCTTAAAAAATACATCTACATGATATATCTATTTAAAAAGCTTACAGTATACTTTGATGGATGATGCAGTCATTTTCAGAAACAGCAAACTGTAATTTAATGACAGTGTGTAATTATTTAACAGCAATATTTTCTGAGTTCAGCTGACTTGTGCCTCTCATGCTAGATGCTAGTCCTTGATTGTTTTGTCCTATTATTGCAGATGCTTACCTGGTAAAGGAAAAAAATGTGTGGTGCATTTAAAATACTACTTAAGGAGGAAGAGAATTAGGTTTATTCATGCAGACTTAGTTTGAAAAATGCGGAGAATGTATTAATTTCAGACCCCACCCACAGCAGCTAAGTATATTCTTTATTTTGCTTTTCAATAAATCTCCAGTAGTATATATAGACTGTAAGCACAAGTTAGTCTTTTTATATTTTAAATTTCCTTAACATGCTCCTTGCTGTATTAACATCTGTTCTGAAACTCCCACCACCACGGCAAGGAGGCATCAATTAACATCAGTTTGGAAGTGACAGATATTCAGTCAAGGAGGAATAAAACTCTACAGCAATTTTTGCCAGCAAAATCTCATCATGTGTGCAAAGATGCAGTCTACTGGTAGCACCAGTTTGATATTTGAGGGGATGGATCACTGGAAGAATGAGGTTTGCCTCTCATGAAAGGAGACATGCATGAGCCCTTAATTGTAAATTCAAAGATAAGGCCACTGAACTGAGGGTGACCTGGCTCTGGTCCCAGAAAGTTGTGTTTCACTAGATTTAGTTTCTACAGCAGAGAAATCTAGCAGTGTGAGAGGCAGTCTTTCAGGCAGCTTGATGCACTTGCCAGTGAAATAAATATTGGAAAACTGAAATTTACCCAGGACGCTGAGAGCTACTAGAGTGGACCATAGACTACCTGACACCTGGTCGTCCTGTATCACTTAATGTGCCAGATAGTAATTACTAAAATAGTGGATCTTTCTGGCTGGATTTCAGAACTGTATCCAAGAACAATGGAGTTAAAAAATCCTGCTATTCGATAATGGAAAATATACAGTGTTATGCAAATATCCATGTCCAAGAAGTGAGAAAAGAGCCTTCAGCCTTGGCAATTGTACAGTTCTTCCAACAGATTCCTTTGCTTTTGCATGCTATGACTTTACAAGTTATAGTTTCATTGAGTATGGTTGAGAAATCAGTGGAAAAAGAAGAGTGAAAAAAAATATGTACTGTTACTGCTTTCCTTGACAAACAATAAATAAATTCTTTAAAAGCAAAGAGAGAGAGAGAAATGAAACTAAACAAGTAGGGCTGTTTTTTTGTTTGTTTGTTTTTTTGGTTTTTTTTTTTTTTGCATGGGTTTTTTTATTTTCTTTTCTTTTTTTTAATTTTCTTTTTTTTTTTTTTTGGTGAAACAAATATTTTGGCTGCAAACTAATTTGAGATTATAGGAGTCTGAACATTTTCAGTAGAAATATTTCCTTTTCTAAAAGGAAACTGCTGGTTTTCTAGTGAGGAAAAGGTTACTGTTATACAGTGTTTTCTATCGATCTGATCAACATCTTCATGATGGAATGACAAGAACTGACCAAAAGTTGCTGAACTTAGATACACTTAAATGAAGAACTTAGATCAAATGGATTTGGGCCAAGAAAAGCTGTCATGTGTGAGGCACCACCATTGGCATGAAATACACTGATAGTACTTATTCCAGTGGGGAAGGCAAATTTTCAATTTAAGTCAGGATTCAGAGTAAAAATAAAAAGTACAAAGATATGTACATACAGGCAAATACAAAGCAGAACAGTGTACAATTATCAGACAGTTCACAGGATAACACTAAAATAACTTTGGTCCTTGCACTTTTTATTCAGCAAAAGGTCATTGGACCTCATTCATCCTGCTCTGCAGATCTTGATTTTCTGTTAATATAAGGTTGGAGAAGGAATAACAAAACTGTCCTAAACTCATCCATGAGAATCCTAATCCTGGCATTGCTGTGTTCTGAATAAAGCCTTCAATTACCCCACTATGTAACATATTGTAGTAGGGTAGTCTGGAGGAAAAAACTGAGGGTGATCTGTACTGCTGCAGATCTGGGATTGAAATCAGGCTGAGCTATAGGTGTTTGTATATGTGTTGCTCACTCCTCTCTGACCAACTGTCTATCATTCTGTACTCAGCAGTATCATAAACCTTTCTGTGAGGCTGCATGCCTGGGCAGTAAGGATAAATAAGGAACTATTCACAACAAAAATAATACAGAGGAAGAACAACAGCTAAGAAAAAGAATTCATGGGGGAAGAGGAGAATGGTCTAGGATATCTGCTCCTTCCTGAAGTGCTCACAATTTTATCCTCTATGCTGAATGTCTTCTAGCATAGAGGAATCCTGTGGCATTCAAAATCACAGGAATGTTTAGTTGTATCACACTGGAAGTCCATTTGGTCCACTGCCCTGTGAACAGTGATCAAAGCCACAGCTTCAAAGGAAGATGCAATGAAGTATGAACAAGACACTTACAGACATATTCAGCTTTTGGTTCTTCTTTCCTGTTCTAGACAAGAAGTGAATGGTTTGTGCTTTGTAGCTAGGGAATTTCTGCCTCTTTCTACTTTAAAACTGTTTTACGATCATTGTGTACCTTATATTTGCATACAAAAACTTTTCAATTTAATTTCAATAAAATCGAGATAAAGTGTAATCTTATTGCATGAATTTCTCATTTTATTGACACCACGTGATTAACTTTCCATACATATATTTGCCTACCTCAGTGAAAAAAATGTGCTTTTTGTCAGTCCAGTAGCCTTTGAAAGACTTAGATGAACAAGTTATCTGTTCAAAGAATTTCATCCCCTTTGCTCTTTGCAATGCAAAAGCTTCAAAGTTCAGTTCAGATAGACTTTGCACACTCTAGAGGTGTTCATAGTTTAAACTCATGGATGCATTTCTCATGCATGCATATGAGCAGCTTTTAAGGTATATTTTCTGTGTTCGTATGTTTATTTCTTAATAATTGAGCAAGATGATGAAAACTCTAGTAGAGAAGGTAATTGCTACGAAGGGACTGTCAGTATTCTGATGGAGGCAGAAAATATTTTGACAGCGTAATTATTTCTCTTTCTCCAGTTATTCCAAGGTTAACAAGCTATGTTGAATTTCCTCAAGAAGGAAGAAAAATTCTTCTACTTTGGGCACACACACTTGACTAAACTTTTTGGAGGAAAGTATTTCTTCCTTCTGTGCTTGTACTGCAGCTGAGGATAAAAAAAGAGATAACACTTCCTTGACAAAGCCTTCAGACCATCTTTCTGCGAAGTTCTTAAAAGACAGCAAGAATACAAGAAGGTCTAAGTACTAAATACACCTGAATTTAAAAGTTTTCCTCAATTTCAGGTGCATGGACTACATTGACTGGAATATGGTGTTTTCCTTACTGTGTGTAAGACCAAATAGTGTCCTTACTTGAGCACCACTGGAACGTTCAATTTTGTTTTACAGACTGGGATAAGTATTTGCAGATTTTTTAAAAGGAAAAATTTGTAATCTGACAGTGATCACTGATTTATTTTACATCTGGATCTTGAAAAAGGCCTATAGTCACTCCTTTGAGTTTGGCAGAGCTTTCAAGTGTGAACAAGGGCATAAATGAAAAGCCATGGAAGAAGTCAGATTTTCTGTGAGGCTGTGTACCATAAAAATAATAACAAGGGGAAATGGAAAACCACTAAATAAAGACTGTGATCCAGTTTATGTCCACACATGGTAAGGTATTGTCAAACAGTTATTTCTCCCAGTTAATCATTAAATGCACTCCTACACTCTTAAAAACTAATGTGAGGAACACTTTTAGGACAGAAAAGTACACACAATGGTATGTGAGTAAGAAGCATGCGAACCAACAAAATAACAGCTCTCTCGTCTATAGAGCTCTATATTCTTTTACAACTAGGTTGTTTCATTAATAATTCCAGAGCATTAGAATATATTGTGTTATTCTGTAAAGCTTGTTGTACAGAAACAATTCAATAAATGAAAAGTCTGAATTCTAAGTATTATTATTATTTTTGTTCAGATTTTCGTTGTGCTGCAAAATTCTTTTGATTGCTTCAGACGTACAACAATCCCCTGTTGTTTATCATAAATAACAAGTTGTTTTATTTCTCTGGGCTTGCAAGTTTCATTTTATTCTGTTGCTATAATTTCTATTCATTTTTAACATGAACACATTTTCCTACAGAAGTAGTCTTGTATCTAACAGTACCTTGTGATTTTTTGGCTGTGAAAAGCATTCTAGTGGATGAGAAAAGGGTGAAAATAATTCCACCTCCTCACCAGAGTGAACTGAACTTTCTAAGGATATATTTTTGCCCCTTTTTGAAAGGGAATAGGTAATGCTTTCACTTCTGACTGCCCACTTGCTAGACATTTTTTATACTGAATTCAGAAACAATTTAGTGGTGATGCCATTTATTTTATTTCCAATAGAATTCTTAATGTGTCAGCTTGATCCTGTACTGTCACAAAAGAATATTGACTTTGTATAAAAAGCACTATTTGAAACACCAAAGTTAGTGCTGATTTTACCAGTATCACCAGTTTTGCAAAATCTTTGAAGTCTGCAGTCTTTTTTTGAACTGAATTTCTCTGTGATGGGTGAGGAGAAGGAATTGTAGCCTCAATGAAAAATTATAATATTTTTATCTATCTTCTTTACTGAGAACTTTGCATATTTTCCATACTGAAGGTTTTTAACTGTGATCTTTTAGTTCCTTATTTTTCACAATCAGAGCCCTGTAGACCCCTTAGTCAAGGATTCACTGTTTGTATGAAATTAGACAGACTGGATCACGCTGGTCATCTGTTCCCTCTGCCATTCTGCACTAACACAAGAGAGTACATGTGATTTACTTCAATGAACTGTGACTCCCACAGTTTCCCAGTGTCCCCTGCTGCAAACCTTAACAAAGATGTGATCAATCATTTTGGTCTTCATTCGACTGGGAAAAATGTGCTAAGAGGAGTACCCTTAGGATGACCAGAGTTTGTCTTTCTGTCTAACAGACTGATAAATCTGTATAACCAGTTTATACATTTTTTCTAACAGTACAGGAAAATGAGTTACAGCTAATAACATGTCTCTGATAAGAGTCTATTGACATTTTAACTGCTGAAGATCCATTTTAAACCAGCAGAATCTAAATATGCTGGGGGATGGGGAGCTGAAGTGTCACATCTGCCATTTCTTGTGGTTGGGAATCCCTCTTCCACAACCACAGGGGCAGCCTAGAGTCAGTAAGGGTGAATTCACAGTCATATTTCTATTTTGCCAACTCTGCAATGCATATCTAAGATGTATCCTTCTCTCAATTTCCACCACCTACAACTCATCTTAACTTTTATCTGGAGAAGCGCATTTTTTTCCTTTCAGGTACTGACAGCTGCTGTTGTTTCCTGCTTGTATCTGTTGAAAATACAACCACAATAACCATTTCCCAAGCTTATGGAATCACTGCCTTGAGTCCTTCTAGTGTTTCCTTTCCCCATCACATTACATTTCTCATCTTTTTGACTTAGCTTATGAGTACTTCATGATGTTCTTGTCACCATGTCTGGCAGATACCTACCACCTACTAGTTAAAGTTCAGATGTCAGGGGTATCAGTAGCATCCTCCTCCTGTGGGAGATTGGCCTCACCAACAGTTCTAAAACCCACTTCATTATCTTTTTCCAATCTTTAAGTCTCTCTATCTGACTGCTTATGAATGAAGGAGACATTTGCTCTCCTTATGTAGGTATGTAGGTGTCTTTACCTGAACTAGTTTTCTGTTATCTTCAGTGCAAAACAATACAGCTTTTACGGTGTAACTTATCTGACTTATTTCAGGCATATTCTGTGGATTGAGATGAATCTCACTTTGCAAGTGATTATTCCTTCTTACTGACACTGCCAGGGGAGTGTGTGGCTCCAGTTCAGATACAGCTGATTTTACAGCTATTCCAGCTAGCCTGCCTAGTTATCTAATGATGGGTGGATATAAACTGTATTTATGCTCTCTATATATTTATGAATTGAAGCACTCAAATTTAGGTGCTTACAGTGTAGGTGTCAACACATAGAATCTCCATTACATCAATGGAGCTTTAGCTAGTACAGGTGATGAAGCCTGGAGGAAAATTCAGCTGAGCTAGATCCAAATCCTTCCCCAAGACTGTGGTATATTTAGGTTCAGAAAACTCTATCCATCTGTCTAGTAGGCAACTATGATTTGTTTTATATTGCAGCTGAACCTATGATTATATCCTCAGTTTACTCTAACATTGGATTATCAGAGTCAGTTAATGGGACTACTTTTGCTAAATATTCATTTATTTGCTGTTTCCCTTGAGCTATTTTCAGTATAAAAATATTAAAAACATGAGCTTTAATGCATACAGAGTGCTTTTGGAGACTCATGAGGGTAAATGAAACACTATTTGGGAACACTGCAAACAATGACATGTCTTCTTGTGTGTATCATCCCAGAGAAGTGTTGTCAATGTGAGTTTGAAACTTGTTCTGTAAGAAAGAAAAAATATTCATTAAACTGAATAGTGTAACACTTTGACTTTCATGTGAAGTTAAAGCAACAAACTTTCCCCTAAGAAAAGCATATTAAATCCTAATACTAGTTAATCCAACTTCCCCTGTTTTACACAAAATAAATGTTATTGCCACCCATGCTTCTACACACTATTTTGTAAAGGATCTTCACTCTTAAAAGAAGAGACATTCTAATCCCCTTTTTCTTGATTCCCCTGCTCACATCTGGCATGACCTCCCATAATTTCCAGGATGTAAAACTAGCTGTCTAATGACATCAGTAAAATAACTGTTTAGAGAGAAATACATCAAGTATCTTTTCCTTTAGACAAATCATATCTTGAAATGAACTCTTGAAGAAGTTATGCCCTTTTTCTTTTATCTCATGCAGTAAAGTCATAGTTTCTTATTCACCTGTATTTTCCAAACAAGCAAAATACCCAGCCATGAACTTGAAAACTACAGTCCATACTCCTTTCCTAAACTTTTTCAGCTTTAAGCAGAGCATAATTTTTTCCTGTCCTGTTAGATTTCAGGGGTCACCATTGACAATTTCTTGAAAAAAGGTTGGGTATTGGCCCCTGGACTTCTCTGTTTCAGTCTTTGTAGGAGAAGCTTTCATGTCAGAAAACTCATGCTGTTTAAAGCAGAAAGAAGCCACTTGGCAATGTAATCTCTTCATCTTCTTTGGTGCATGTGGGAGGCACTGACTGTGGAGCACTGTACCTGTGTGCTTAGCAGTCAGCCTCTGCTTTATCTGTATTAGTGCAGTTGTTCTGGAGTAGCAAAAGGGAAGGAGTTTGAAAAGTTATCACAATACCTTGACAATGGGTCTTTTGTAATCCAAAAAATAACATGTACACACCAGATGACAGTGGGGATACTGTGTGCTTCACTACAGCTGGTGAGACTTATTCTGCCTGTAAGAATTTTGCTGGCTTTAGCAGCCATCCAGAATTATATAATTCCTCAGAAAAGTGAGGTTAAGAATAGACCAGTAGAAAAATGGGGTAGTAGGTTACAAACAAAGCATGTTCAGAGTTTGAGTCTAGATGACAATATACATCCTTGCCCTTTTACCACAGATTGCTCATGGGGACTGAATAAAATTTCAGGTACATAGTGTAGATATCACAAAAATCTTCTGATGTATAAACACATGCACACACTACCCCTTACCCTCACTCCACTCCCACAGACATGTACAAAGGTAACACCACAGTTGTTCATATCTAATAACAATCATAAATGGAAATTTGCATAACAGAAAAAAAGTGTTCATATTAGTGAATAGTTTTGGCTAGCTCTACTTGGATATATTCAATGTACTCTGAACTATGGGATATCAGATATAATCTGCTTTATTTTGAGCCTTTTCTAGCTCCAATGAAATCAGTGGCAAAATTCCTACTAAATTAGGTGATGCATGTTCATTGGAAGAGGAAGTTGCATAACTATATATATATATATATATATACATTTTACATTGTAAAATGTCACTTAAATATTCCATACTTATCACTTGAAGCAATTTTCTTCACAAATCTAAAGAAATTCCTCCTCATAAGTTAAAAATAAAATTGTTGTGAATTATACTTTTCTGAAGAAAATAAGAAGTTGAAAACACCCCCTTCGCAGTGGTGTACATGTGTGCATGCCTGTGTTTGCATGTGTATGTATATGTTTGCTCATATTTTAAAAAGAAATTTACTTTTGTGCCTCTATCTGAGCAGACTGTCCAGCGTGGGATGAAAACATTGTCATATGCACATAAAACATGCGTCCAGCTGGCCAGTGTTTTCTCATCTGTTACAGATTTCAGATCTTTAGCTTTATACATTTCAAATTTCTCAAAACCCGAAAACCAAGGAACAAGAGCTGTGCACAGGAGAAAATCTCCTTTCATCACACTGGGATTATTTTTCTCTCCCAGGTGCTCGAGCCTGGGCTTTCTCTTAGTCTAATTGATAACTGTTGGGCTCCTCCCCCTAACCCACTGACTTTTGTGCATTCCCTTCCCGAGTGACTACTGTTTCACTGTTCTACCTCATTCACTTATGGTTGACCTGGAGCTCCTGGGTTAAGCTTCCCCACTGGTATTCAACCTTGGACCTTATTATTGTTCTACTCATCTGACCTCTGATACACTAAATTCTAACAAGGTGATCTGAAAAAAATCACTCATTTTTTTTCTGTGTGGTTTCACGGCTCGTCTTTTACTGCTCTTGGCTGATGTTCTTTTCTCCACTTCAGACCACCAAGTGCTCTGCTTTAGTTTGTCAATTTATAGTGCTGTCATGGTTTCAAATGCTGTGACCATTGTGTAGAATATACTCTCCTGACCTCTGAAGCAACTTTCTGTATTTCAATTGTTAACTCATTAGGGTTTGGAAGAACAGCTGAAAAGGGAATGGCCTTTTTCCCACAATTGCTTCCAATGGGATGCTTGAAGAGTCATCACAGTCCAGGATTAAGAGAAATCAAGAGGATGCTGCTAGAAATTAACTCCAGTTATTTTGCATTCTTGCCTAAATGAAACAAACTAAACCCCTCAATGCCCCAGAATATTGGTATTGTCATCATCAGTTCACCACTGAGATGCAAGGGGAAGCATATAAATAAAGCTAATAATGAAAAGATGAATCAGAAGAATCTGGTTTGGATAATTCACATACTTTGACAAATTATTCAAAAATATAGACAAAATGTGTTATTTAAGCATAACTTATATTTTACTACTTTCACTGTCCTCACACAATCCTTTGTTCACACTGGCCCTTTGTCTGGGTTCTGAGCCTTGAACTGGCTTCTCCCAGTCAAGTTTTTCTAATAAACAGTGTTTTAACTCTCTCCCTTTGACAATGCCTTTTGAAGAAGAATAGAGAAGTGTATAGACAATACCAGCAAAATTTATTCTGAAGTCTAAGAAAAGTGCAGTCTTAACCATATATATTAAAACGCTGCCTTGTCCAACAAACTCCTTCCCTTCTTTCTTTTAATTTAGGCAGGGAAATCACCTTACTCAGCAAGCAAATAAAGAAGTGCTTCTGTCATTTATGTAGAGTTTTATAGCACTAGCAAAAAGTTAATTATTTTCATAGTCTGAATTTTGAGATTGATGCACATTTCTATTCTGAAGTTTCTTTGACCAACCAATTACTAAACAGCAAAAATAGCGTACGTTTTTGCCATTTAAAATAATTTAGCATAGTTGAGTATTTTGCAATTCTAAACATGTAATTCTAGTTACACTTGCACAATCTAAAAAAAAGAAAAAAATCTGTCTTTTCTTCAGCATCACAAGTGTTTAGATCAACCACAGATTTTGATTTCAACAGAAAAAAACCAACTTATAGGACCTCATGGGAACTATGCTTTTAACAGCATTCTTAATTTTGAGAGACTACTTGGTACAGCGTTCTCCTTGGTAGCACTAATCATGGCTGCACAGTTTTCTGATAACATGAAATACTTGAATACATCCTTCATTTTTTGTGTCAGAGAATCATAATAACAAAAGCTTCCATTTTTGAATCATTTTTGAGTCTCATCATCAAATGTTTCAGAGTACTTTGCAAACACTAATTTAAACTTCACCATTTCCCAGAGAGCAAGGTTAGCTTGCGTGTATCTCTACTGATTTCACTTAGCATCATACAGAAATGACACATTTCCTCTAGATACTGTAATAATTTTTCACAGGTAAGTAAATTGAAGTATTGGCTCATAAGTGTCCTATCCAAAAACTGAATCAGTAAGACAATGAAATTTGTATTTCATATCTGGTTTTCAGCCCTCTGAATCACTTGCTAATTCTTTCATCATGTTTGATGATTTAACATTTAACAATTTTGCTCTGTTTAAGTCCACCTGTTTCAAAAGACACTCTTAGAAATTGTCTCTAAACAATATTAGCATAAGTTTTAAATAATTAAAGCAACAGAAATTAGAGACTGTTTTACCAGAATTTAAATTATGGAATAAAGTAGAAGGAATATAATCATTATAGAGTTGATGCTGCCTAAAAACTGTAAATGCATTTGATTGCCTATGTTAGACATCATTAGACTATTTACTTTAATAAAGCAGTAAAGCCAATACTACACAGCAGCTTAAATCAATTTCCCTAGAATATTACAGCTGCCAGATCTTCCAAAGTTGAAGATCATTTCTTTTCTGAAAAGAAGCCTTCAAACCGTATAGTTCCATTAAAAAAATATATATTTGTGTGGATGCTAAAAGGATATCAAATAGCAATTTGCGTTAGTGTTTGTACAAGCAATTGAAAAAAAAAAAAAAAAAACCTAACAAAAAAGACAAACCAAAAAGGAAAAAAAGCTGGCTGATTGTGTTGCTGTGCTTCTTCTGCGTCATTGTTTTTAACAGATGGTTTGCTATTACAACTGCCTTTACTTCAGCAAGACTTTATAACCCTGCAAGTTTGGGGTTTTTTGTTTGCTTTTCTTTTTTTTCTTGGTGTTTTGCACCATTTGCATTTAAAAGTTTATGCAGGTTACTTTGTCGGTGCTTTGAATCTGGCCTCTTATAGTGTTGGGATGGTATTTACTATCTGTGCTTGATCTGGACCAAATGTATTTTGGTTGTAAATAGAAGGTCTTCTTTTATGAGGATGTTCACTTCACAGCTTGAGCAGTGTAATTTTTATACAGGTCTCAGCAATCAATAAAAAAGCCGCAGGAGGAATGATTTATCTTGTTGGTTACAGAGACTGTCACCGAGAGAAATTGTAAAAGATCAATTTACACAACCTGGTGTGAGAACGTTATTGATATAACACGGCTGATCAGTTTCTGGTAGTCTGTGGGTAGGCGGAGAGAGAGCCCTGCCCTCGGATAGGGCCACTCACCAAGATCTTAATAGACTCGCTGGTCCATAAAATGGACATGAAGCCAATGAAGGGCGAGGTTCTGCGTGCGCATGCTACACTGAGTGGCCCGCAGGAAAATGGATTGGCTCAGCTCCGATTAGTTAGTTAAGCAGTGTCATGCATCCTCTTTTTTTTCCTTGTTGCTTTTTTCTTCTTCTTCTTCCCCCTGCTCCCCCTCCTACTGTGAGAACTGTTCACTTGGAGGCTCACTGCCTTAATTACAAAGGGCCCTTTTAACTACAGGTCACAGGAGTTGGCTCACTTGACAGGAAATAAGGAAACAAGCTACCTTCCTGGAAAAAAAAAAGAAAATCAAACTTCCACTCCTCAAATTAGCTAAATGAAGCTTATCAGCACTTGTTAGTTGATCCTTTGACAGTCTGTTAATTGCAGCTGGTACATTAACTTATGTTATAACCAGCAGGACATATGATTAAAAAATAAATAAATCTATGGATATGCCACACAGAATTGTTGGTGGAGAAAACAAAGTAAGAGCAATGTTGATATTTGCTGTAAATATCACAGCACAAAAGACGTTTATAGACTATTTTATTTCTTATTCTGTAGAATTAAATTGCATGCTAACTGAAGGAGTTGGTTTAGATCAGAAAAGAACTGCTCTATACAATGAGATTAGAAAGGTTCTCATTACATCTTAATAAAATCCAACATTGGCTACTCCATCAATATAAGCGGTCTGTACCTATGGATGTTATACATGCAGCTTTTAACATACTTCTCCTGATATATGCTCTCCATTATATTCTTTTATTTACAGACAATAATTTCTTACTGTTATTACTGGAGGGAAAGAAAAGAACATAAGCAGTATTAAGAAACCCCATGGCAGTTGTTTCTCTTTCATAGGAAGTGACTCTATAGTATAACTGCTAGCAAAAATAAAAGATCGAAAGGCACATCAAGGGGAAAAAACTGTTTTCATGCATTTAACCTGTTAATTATAGTAATCTACACTACAGTGTAAGTATTGTAACCTGGAATGGGAAATGGGTGATTGAAAGAATGAGCTGACTAAGACAAAAATGATTAAATCCACACTTTGAATGGATGATTTTCATATGTAATTTGAGCTACACATTCTTAAGTTATTTCATTTTTACATTTCTGTACTCATTGGCATGTATCAAAGAAAGGCTTGCTGAAATTAATGTTTTCTTACCTTCATCTGCCAGAGTAGTTTAAATACTTCTTGAAGACTGAAAGATGTGTTCTTCTGGACCCATAATATGTGCTTTAAGATGTGTTTTATGCTTATTATGAAGTAATATTTTGAAATCCTAGCCATCCCAACAATTTTGCTTCTTTTTATCTATGGAAGGACACATAAAAAGGCAAGGTTACTCTCATACCACTGAATATTCAAAGTCCCTATTAGTTATCATTGTCTTTTAATGTTATTGGACTCACCAACAGGCCTCACTGTGCTCATGATATGTCCTAAGCACAGAAAAATGTGTCACGTCCCCCTCTCCTTACCCACTGTGAGGGGAGAGGGGCCCTTCTCTCCAGTTCCTTAATATCTCAAAGTTAGATTCTTTGTTCCGAAAATGGATGGGGTTCAAGTGCTGTCCCTCTTCCTATGCTTTTCTGTACTCAGATCAGAAAAGAAATAAAGCAATTACGACCAGAGTGAAGAAATGGAGCTTGTGAGTCCAAGGAAAGGAGTGGGTGGGGGAAGACAGTGGTGTTGGCCAGATGTGGATGGTAGCTAGAAGCCAGGGGTAGTGGAGAAAGGAGAGAAGGGAATGTGGAGAACTTGGTATGTTCTCCACATGCTGAAATGCCTTGATATTATTCTAAATCCACGTGTGCTAGCAACCCCTCAAGGCACACAAACTTCTGGAGTGGATGGTAGCCCTGATTGAACTGTTAGTCTTGTTTCTTCCCAACCACAGAAATAAGCAGCTCCCATTTCTGTGGATACCTAGTGAGGTGAAAGGATGGCCACAGTGCCTGTTGACCTGTCTTGCTCATCCTTGATTGTGTTCTAAGCCAAATTTGGTTATAAAGAACTCTTTATAACATGACTTCAAGTGGTGGGTGGGCAGAGAAAGAGTTGCTTTTCTCTACAGCTGCCAGGCCACTCACTGCCTCAGGCAGTCTGAAATCATTACCAGCCATATTCCTCCCCTGCCCTTCTCATAAGGAAGTTGGGCTCCTCACAGAAATCAAACAAATGCTGTTCCTCTGTCCCTCACATGGATATTACCTTAGTAGAGCAAGTCTGTACAGGCTGTCACCAAGCTGTCCAAGTAGAATGGTCATCTCCCGTTCTGCTATGAATCCTTTTTAATTTCCCTTCCCTGTGTTCAAAGCTGCTACTAAATGTACGTCACGATCCCTGACTCAAACTCTGACAACTCCAGTGACTATCCCTCAAATTAGTACCTCCTTGAATTGCAGAAAAACATATTGGGGAAGTCCTTCACTAAGATTTTCCCTGATTCACTGGAAGGGCAGCTGGTAACAACACCCTGTTGTTAAAGTCTTTCTATTATAGAAAATCCCTGTGACCTTTTATTTTGAGAATCTCTCACATTTCTGTTGTTTGTAGAAGGTGTTTGGTATTCAGCAGAGGAAATCCCTTTGGGCCACAGAAGTCTCTTTTCTTTGTCCCATAAAATTTCATTTAGGATGCAAAGTGACAAAAATTGTCATTATCCTTCTCTTATTTTGATCTCTTGGGAAAACATTAGTAGACTCCAGGGAGCAGGCCAAGTTCAGACTGACACTGCCAACACCAAGAGACACATAATGAACCAGCTGAGAACAAGAAAATGGGAGATAGGTGTAGAAGAGGTTGAGTCTGTGGTCTTGCATTACAAAAAATTCTAAACTGAGCAGTTTCCATCCCAAGCCATCCCTAAAATACTTAGCTTAAGGGGTAACAGTACAGTCTTCTTGCCACTGTAGACTCAAGATGTTTTCCTCATTCACACACGCACATAAACACACATCCCCCTTTCTCAGCTAATGTACATCTGTATACTTAAAGATCTCAACAATCCTAGCAATAGCATCCTGCACTGCAATGCAGCAGGTTCAAGATTCATGTGTAACTTCTGATGCCAGAAATAAGAAGGAGTGTAAAATAACTCCCAGCAGAGTTATCTTTAAATAAAGTTTCCTGCGGTTGCAAGAGCTAGTACTTGAGAGTTAAGAAACGCCTCTGAACCCTAATTTAGCCTCTTTTACATGAATATATTCTGGAGCAAATATGTGTTATATACGATCATACTACCTTTTCCAATTGATCCTCTTTAAATCAGTATTCAGGGTGGACTGTTCAGAGGGTAGGAGAAGGTTAGCACATACAACCAAAAGGCTGATATTTTTGTCTTACACATTTGATTTTACAGTCCAAGTAACTATTTTCAACTAGCGGTTTGTGAACCTGGAATCTCATACATCCTTATGCTCAGAAATAGTGTGTGCTATCCATTAAAGTCAATCTTAGGTCATGTATGTCATTCCTTTGTTAAAATATTACTAGATTTAAGCATTTTCAATAGCTACTTAGAACCCATAAAAGCCACACAAACCATGTAATTAGCGTAGTTTGTGAATTAAGTCACTGAAGGTGTTGCGCACTCCTAATGTTTTACTTCTTATGCAGAGAGATCTCGCACAAGACTTTGCAGAATAATGTTCTTTGTCCTGGAATAAAAACCCAGAATTTGGTTCTTCATTGTTTAACATAGATGTATACTCAACACCGTGCTCAGGTCTGGATTACAATTATCAGATTCTGAAATTAACCCCCTGCTCCACACACATACATCAAGAGAACCATATTCAGCTTCAATCAAAACTTTTCATAGCAAGAGTTTTGTATGAAAAACAGATTCCTAATTTAAAGGCATTTGAGACTTTAGTTTCAAAACAATTCAGAGATCAGCAATATTTTTCTTTCAGAATTTCTCCTGATAGAATTCTGAGATTTTTTTGAACTCTCTTATTGGTTTCTGAAATGAAATATGCTCTCCGGAACTTGGAAACTGACGGGCAAGAACTGATGTTCTTGCTAGCTTCCCTTCATCTACCTCCAGAGCAGCAGCAGTTCAAAGAGTCATGCACAAAGCAAAAATGTTTTTAACCTAATGGAGAAATCTTTACTAGTTTGATATAAAGGTTCTAATATCTATATTTGAAAAAGAACGGACTAGTTTCTTCAGTCCTTTATTATGGTAGCTTTCTAGTGAGGTTATTGGTAGTAAAAAATGTTAGCCAAATTTCTAATGGCTAAATGCATGTAAAAGTTCCAGCTCAGATGGTCTTCTGCAGCATAGGGAGGCACTGAGCATTGTGCCAAGCCTTGTGGGAACATGCCTCCTCCAAATTGCTATTTGCTTTCAGCAGAGAAAGGGCTAAGAATGTGCTGCAACTCCGCAGCCACGCCGACGCTTGGTAGCACGTGTCACACACTCGGCAGCTCTGCGTTCAGCAGACAAACAGGGGCTCTGGTCTATCCCCACTTCTTACCACCAGCCAAAAAGACATAAAGCTGGACACATTGGCACCAGGGCAGAAGCTCAGAAGCAGTGCTTCTTGGAGGATTGTTCAGCCTCTCTGTGGATCTACAGAGGGCAGAAATCAATTTTATAATTGGAGTGGATAGATACCATGAGATCTGTATCACCATTCTTCTGGAAATGAAATAGGTAATGAAACCAGCTGAAATGAAGACATTACCAACTTATGACACTTATTCATAACACATGCATGAATAGAAATGTTTCAGGTGGAACTTAGGACAACTGTCAGTAACTGCTGTTCAAATCATCAGGTCTCTTTCTTTCCCCAAACAATTCATTTTCCTATGGCATATGCAGTTGTTGAAGCAAATTTGCATTCTGATGCAGCATGTGCCCCTGTGTTTGTGTGTTCCTTTGTTTTATAGCACGGCTGGTGAGTTTGAGTGGACTTTACACAGCTGAAGGAAAACTTGTTTAATACATTTAATTTAGGACAAATGCATTATGCCATTACCAAAATTGTTTTCTCCCTTCCATCCAGGAGGCAAAGTTAGTCAGACATAGAAGGCTGCATCTATGTTACCTCAAAAAGCAGAGCGGTATTATCCAGCTGGGTGCACTCTGAAAGCTTTCATTTCACCAGTATCACAAACGGTGATGGCATATGGGCTTGGTGCTGGTGATGTAACTCCTGGCAGTAGTTCTGCTGCTAATGCAGACAACTTATGGCATTTTTGTCCCCATGTTTGCTTGCTTCCAGTTTAGGTATATTTTCTTTTGAAGCTAACTTAGGCTTGAAAACCTTTTATTCAGAGAACTTGTTTTGACACAAACATTCATGCCTCTGTGATCAAAATGTTCTAACCTAGAAAATATAGGCTTTTTGGTTGGATTGTTGAGTTTTGGCTTGTTTTTATCTTGTTGTTTTAAGTTCATTTCTCTTTGGGAACATTTCTCTTTCTGGTACACTTGGCTGTACATAGCCAGAGTTTACAAGGTGCACTTAAATTGAAATATCAAAGAGAACTGTTGAAGTGACGTGCTTGCAAAATTTGTGTAATTATCTGCTATTAACTCATCTGGAATCCTGTGATGAGCAAACTGTGATTTTCAATGTGTCATTACATTGTTGCATCAATGGGCTGTTCAATAGCTCAATTTAAAAAATACTCAAGAAATAATCATTACAAGAGGTAATCCTTCCAGTTTGATTCAAATAAATCTGTTCCTACACTAGGCTGATATGATCATGGATCTCATGAGGTTTCAGTGCTTTGTTTGCACTTACTTCACAGTATTTACTCCTGATTTTGTTGTTGCACATTTTATTTTTGATAAGGCATCTTGGATTCTATTTTCTAATTACGTAGAGAAGAATGAGGGATAATGCTACCATCTCTGATTTCTTGCCTTTAGCGATAATGACACAGTGGTGTTCTTTATACAGTGTCAAAGTGCTTGTTTTGTTATTATGGTGTTACAGTATTTTTATCCTATGGATAATTTTGCCTCCTCTGGTGAATATTCAGCTGCAGTTACCCTCTTCTGGCACTGAAAAATCAGATTTATTTTGTGTTTTCATTTGCAATTAATTTGTGTGGAAAACGGTCAGCTGTGTGCTGGACTTATTTTACTGTGGCCATTTTCTTTTTCTGCTCAATGGACAGGTACTCTGAAAAATTTGTCTTGGAAAAGACATTATCAAGTATGTAAAATATGTAAATATACTCAAAGTTTTCTATTCTTAACAATATCACTTTATTTCCCCCGCTTTTTGCCTTTCAAAAAGGATTCTATAAAATGGTTTCCAAATTTCACTATGGTCAGACACTAC